TATGTGAACGAAGCCATTTGCGAGCCAGAGAAAATGATAACCAACAAATTCGGCGACTCCTGTCGACAGTCGCTGACCGCGCTGCCAACGCTGGAAGCGGCGCATATGGGCTTGCAGGAACACACCGAATTTAGCTATAAGAAAAAGTATCTGCGTGAAACGTGTAGTGGTAAGGCGAGAATATTATATTTGTATATATGTACGTATATACRTAGAAAATGCACAACTTTTTTGCTTATAGCCAACTCCAGTCCAAAGATGTTTGCGCCGAGYGCACCGCTACGGCTCGACAATCTCAGCTTGGCGGAGCAGCATGAACTGAAAGGCGCCGCCTGGTTTCAAGCCGGCATCCCGCGTGAGATCTCATTAGAGGTATTGTCGCGTCAGAGCCCTGGCGCCTTCCTGGTGCGACAGAGTAGCACCAAACCCGGCTGTTTTGCATTATCACTGCGCGTGCCACCGCCCGCGCCCAAAGTGGCACACTACCTGATACTGCGTACGCCGCGTGGCTACAAAATCAAGGTTAGTTACATGCCGACGTAATACGAAACCCTTTTGAAAAGTKCTGAAGTGGAATGCTCATAACAGACAAATTTTTTCACATGCTTTTACAGGGCTTCACCAAGGAGTTCACCTCGTTGCGCGCGCTCATTACACATCATTCGGTAATGCCAGAACTGTTGCCTGTGCCACTGGCATTRCCACGGCCGACGAATATGGGCKCAGGCGCACCGGGTAGTCGACATGGCTCACGAGGCAGTGAATTGGATGGCTGTGATGATTTCGATACTTATGGATCGCTAAATGATTTTCGCAAAATGATGGCCGATTTGAATGTATGACTTTTGAGTGAGGCAATGAGTGGAGACAACGGACTGACGGCGCCAAGTAGGCAAGGCGATACAGCAGCAACGGCAGCAACAACTGCAACAGCAGCAAGTTGACCCCGAATCAGCTGTCTGCGGCGCTGGTGGTGTGGACGGAGTTGAGCAATTTAGGTGTCGCACAACCAATAAAGCAGCAACAACAACAGCGCAATATTAAAGTGTAGCAATAAGAAAGTAGTCACAAACAGCAGCATAGCATATGCCACGCATTGTAGTTTGTGGCAACAACGCAGCGGCCGGCTAAAGTAGTCGTGTTGCAAGCATTGCAAGATTTGATATATCATCGACGCAATGCGAATGTTAACGAGTCATCATCAAAAGAACATGAAACGTGTAATACAAGAACAAAAACAAAAACAACAACAGCAAAAGCATTACTCACACTCAGCGCAGAGTTAGAGTTACAACAGACATAAAAACAACAACAAAAACTATAAAATCAATTGCAACAACAACAACAACAACATTTTTTGCAAATACCATATGCATTACACCAATGCCATTGACAGTGACCATGACAGTGATACTAGCAACTTGCCTGCCACACACAAGCCCCTTTCTACAACAAGCGTATAAAGTGTAGCAGCAACAACAGCAACCTGTGGCACAACCGCATAGGTAACATCCACACAGAACAGTCAAAGTGCTGTTTAATTAATTAACACCGACAAGCGATACACCAGCAGCAGCAGCAGCAGCAGACACAAGCCGGACAACCGAATATCGGACGACAAACGAAATCTAGGCTGCACAAATCAGCCAACTTGCACCCACTCATGCGTTGCATGCACCACTGTCTGCTGTTGTCCACTCTTCGCCACCGGCTGGGCTTCTAACCTCGATGACTTGTTGAAATTCTAGCAAAATGCAGAGTTTACGGCAAATAGCTGCRTAACTGCAGTCGTCAGCATTGTCTATGTGAGTGSGCGTGTGTGTGTTTGTAATTTTAGTGACTACTGTTGATTAAGCTCAGTAATTATTTTAATTGGGCAACATATTCAATGAAATTGCAGGCAGACATTTCTGGCTAATGAAAATCACAGAATCACAGAAGATTTACGGCACATAAACGTATCGCCAGCAATGCGAGTAATACCTACGTAAATTTATTAGTTAGTGTGTGTGTAAGCAAGGTTAATCCCAAAATATTTAGTTGAGCTTTATGTGAAGGTTTTCGCTTGCTTAGAAGTGGCTTAGTAATTTAACAAAGCCAAGCATTAATTGATTTATTGCCTTTAAGTGAAGTTGTAAGTGTGTATGCATTTKTGTATGTATTGTACCTCAAATGAACGGTACTTAGCAAGAATGACAGACAAGTTGAATATGCAATATAAATCKTCAAGCATTAGAAACGGGACCACTAAGACGTCTTAACCAAATGTCTCATATGTTAACTGCATAGGAGACAGTTTTTAACAGACACCTGGCTGAACTTTAAGTTGAAGCTTTCAAATGTTTTCATTAGTCCAGAAAATGTGTTTAAGATTTGGAATATGCTCTTTAATTTATATAAATATGAGTGAGAGTCTTCTTCTTTATAGGCGYAGACACCGCTTACGCGGTTATAGCCGAGTTTACCAGAGCGCGTCAGTCGTTCGTCCTTTTCGCTGCTTAGCGCGCAGAGTTTACATGCAGAAAATTTCTATTCAGCGGTTTTCTTTTGAGAACTGAGAACAAAAAAATTCGCTAAAGCCCATTCACAGAAAATACGAGTATAGTGAGGCCCGTATGCTTCCAGAGAGCGCGCAGCTTCGTTCTGGATAGTGTAACAGGTTGAAMTCCTACTTACCCAGAATCGACCTCGACTTACTATACAAAATGTCCAGCATGCATCGAGTTCCCGCATGAATCTAGCCGCCTGTTTGCATGCCCAGCTAACCCAACACATYTGAAAACCGTCTTCCTACGATCCGAACCCGTCAAAACAGCACGTTTCCTGGTCCTAACGTTGTATGTACCTCGATGACAACTTGTCTGAGCCTTACCAACTTAACGAGGACTAGATAACCATTACAACCATAASAGCCATACAATGAATTTGGAACAAATTCGAAACAATAGTCGCTTGTAAGCCTACTCATCTTTCCGAAAACTTCCCATATTAATATCAATTATGTATGTATATATGCAGGTCTTTATATACATACCATGTTGCATATATATATACATATATACTTATGAACACAAAATAACACTTGAAACATTTTTTCTCTAACAAATTAGTTCATCAGTTTAAGTTATTTCAAAACATTTKAACAGATTTCATTAACAGCCTCTGCCATAACATAAAATTCAAGCTACGAGAAGAAAATGTTAAAGAATTCACTGCTGTTACCAGCTCTGCATATTAACAGTTGCATTGCAGACTGTAAATCCAAGTGAAAACAGGCAATATATAAATTCAAATACGTGCATACACTGCGCACATACGCACACGTAAAATGAGATTCTTGATTCTTACATTTTTGTTCTTCAATACTGTGACTTACCTCCTCAACTTTTGCGAAATTTTTGCACTTGAAGTATGCTAAATACAATACAAGCACAGCGCCTCAGCTCAGCACTGAATTTAGGAATCATCAAAAACTTTCTAGCACATTCGCCTGCTTTGCACATACAATCAAATACACTCACTTCTTTATTCACAAAATTAAGCTATAAGAAACACTGCCGGCAATAAATTTTAATTAACACACGATTAAAAATGCGCAMAACTTTTGATATATTAATTACATTATTGATTTCTGCTTAAAATTTTGGAATAAATTCCATTTTTACTTTCATTGCTTTAAAATRTTGTAATTTTACACTCCCGTTACGGAAACTGACAGCTAGCGGAAGCTTTGGCAGGCGTTGCTGAATAAACACAGAGTGGCGAGAATTTTGAAAGATTAATTGTCTGGTAACTTTAGCATGCTGCTGTAGAAATTGGAAAATTAAATATAAATTAGCGAAAGCGCAACTATTTTACACACATAATTAGTAATAAAAAAACATTTAAAATTACTTAAGTCATTATTTGAGTATTTTGCATATTATTTTGTAAATTTTAAAATGCACACATGCATAAGCGAACTTGTGCTCACAGCTTAAGATGTAAAAATTAAAAAACAACAACTTTTGTTTGCTTATAAATTTTAATTTTTCTTAAATTTTATTACATAAGCAATTTAGCAATCTGTTCTAAATAATTATGAATATGAAAATAATTGAATCGCAYGTGCGCCCTGTAATCAGCAAACTTCAAACGCCATCCAACCGCCTCCGTTAGTTTCCGTTCGCGCTGCTTCAACAGTTTTCGCTCTAATTAGTAATTGCACTRCGAATTTGTGAATTTCGCATTAAAAATTGTGGTGATTGAGTTTTTTCAGCCGTAATTATAAAGTAAAAAGTACTGTGCTTCGAAAATAATCAAAAGTTCTTGTCAGGCTATGTTTTTTAGTGTTTATTTCTTGTGAGAAGAAAGTGAAGTKCGCTATACGCCGCCACAGTGCGATATGAGGTTATAAATGTGAAATTGTATAAAAAGTTTCTGCCGGAGTATGTTTTTTGTGTATGAAAAATCAGCTGAATCTAATAAGCAAGAGGAAATGCAAATTCCAGTATTATATTCCAGATCAAGGTAAGTCTCATTGGAGAACATTTATAGGTTATTAGCTAAGTGTAGCAATAAGGTTATCTTGTGAGTTTATTGTTTTACAAGACATTTGTAAATGCATTTACATTTTCATTGCATTTTCTGCCAAGTATTCTTCAAAATTTTAAACTGTTAATTTTTCATTATAAATTATTTCAAACAATTCAAGTGGACAGGTGGTAAAAATATAAATAATTATTAAGGCCACTTAATGAGAATAGCAATTTGGATGAAAATAAAACTAACCGAATGTTTCCAGACAAATACGCATTAATAAAAATGCAATTTCTACAGCTACATWTATACGTAATTAATAAATTATTTAATAAACAGATGTATACGAGTTGCTTATAAAAATGTTACTTCTAATTGAAACTAAAACTTGAACTATATTAAACATACAATAAAAATTAATACATTTCCGATAAATACCACAAATAACAAATTAAAAGTGTTAATATTAACATCTAAAAATGTTTATCTGCTACACTAAGAGAAAAATACTTGAAATTACAGGAATATATGCTAAGTACGTGCACTTAAATATTTTACAACTACAAAATATAAATGTATTTTTTATGTGCGAATATGTTAGGCATTAAAAAAACGAATTTAAAATTATAAAAACAAAACTTGGTCATTTTCCTAGACTTTCTGTGTATGCATATTTATTTAAATTAAACTAAAAATATATATAAAAAAGGCTACAGACAGCAAAAACAAACATACAACGGTAGCACAAATTAAAGAAAATTGACGTATATAATCGTAAACAAATTGTTTTTGTTGTGGCATTATTTCAAATAGTTGCACTTATCAAATGTTGCTCTTTGTGTACAGGRTGTTTATATACTATTTACAAACGTTGTTCTGCTGCGCCAATTTATTTTTATTTTGATGTAAATTAAGCAATAAAACATATATACGTATGAATGCTTATAAAGCAAAGTTGGACTACAAAAACATTTAAAAAAAAGTATATATAATGTTTTTTACATGTGCGCAATGTGAGAAAGTTAGTCGCATAATTTCACAAATATTAAAAATTAATAAAAAATAAAAGTATTTTTTTATTTGTTGGTTAGTAATAAATGTAAAATAAATATGCTTTAAATTATTGTCTAAGTTGAGTATATATTATTTAAATGAAATTTAAAAAAAATAAATAAATAATTTCAGTAAATATAAATAATATATAATATAGATATACCCATATATAATATGTGAAGTACGCAAATATATAGTTATGAATAATTACTTGTGAAATATAAAATAAAATTTATAAATGTTTACTAAAAAATATTTGTACTGCATGTAAACTTATAGTTAGTTGTATACAATATGTAATTAAATGATTCAAATACACAATACAAAAKGCATTGAAAACATAAACTGCATTTCAGTATATACTTAATAAACATGTATTCGATTTGACGCGAAAAGTGAGGTTGTGTTCGAAAAAAGGCCAATGAAAAATACACATTTGCTCCCTTCTTGACTTGGCAGTGTTTAGTATGGGTTCAAAATCCTTTAAAACTTTAATATTTTTTACACTCCGCTCCCAATATTATATTTATAAATGAAATATGCATAAATTTTTATWTTTTCTATCAGTTTAAATTTTATTACTTTCAATCTCATAATTATTTTCTTTGCTTACAATAGGCTGTACTCCATAAATTTCATAAATTCTCTCTGTAGCAAGTATTTAATACTTATATGAATAAAAATATATTTATTTATGTAATAATTAATATATGTATATGTATGTATACTTATATACTTTAGGTGGTGCAATGTGCAATAAACTGCAGTGCATTTCATTTGAAAAAAGTTAACATTCTCCAGCCGTGCGTCCAGTTATAAATGTATATATATGTATATATATAATATTGCGAATACATATAAATTACTTTTGTTATTTAAAATATTTGTTAATGCTTTACAAACATTTCTGCAAGTCTTTACTTGTATGTGAGTGCTGTTTKGTGTGTGACAAGTGATCTGAGGCCTACACAAACTCAAATCAAATCAACTAAAAATTAAAAATAAACGGTGTGCATTATTTATAATACTTTAACAATGAAATTAGTTAAAAGAGCTTGTTATAAWGTTAAGTTAATCTAAAAAACCGTTATTTTGCAAGCCTCAGGCATAACCTCTATATTGCGTGCATGTGAGTGTGTATGTGTACTAAGTATGCATTTGTTTATGGTTATTACGATAACAATATATTTTTTAAACGTGCGAATTTTAAGTCAATTAGTGATTTCTTTTTTCTTTTCATTTAAATAACTTTGTTCTTAAATTTTAATAAAACATTGCTTAATTCAAGTTAAATACATCGATTTAGAATCTTAAGTACACACGCGAGTACTTAAAGAGAATTGGAATTATTTTGCTTACAATCAATATGGTTTTACACATCTAGATGTGTATAAGAGACAGGTACACACGCGAGTACTTAAAGAGAATTGGAATTATTTTGCTTACAATCAATATGGTTTCAACAAGTATTATTAAAAATGTAACACGCATTACAACAATATATGTGTATGTTATGTAGAATCGAAATGCCTTAACAAATTGCATATTCAAATTTTGCTCACAAACTTTTCCTCAGAAACAGCGCAAAATAAGTGTTTTATGTAAATGGACTCAAAACTTAATACTACTACACAATATAATAACAAAAATACAAAAAAAAAATTACTACTTAAAATTATACAAAATATATCCGAATTCACAAAATGCCGTTATTTCAAAAATTATTCAAAAAATCGAAATACATAATGTCGAACAACAATACATTTTTTGAAGCCCGCTTATTTTCTATATTAGTATTTACATGGCCCGTGCGGCAAGTTTTGTTAGTTCGAGAATGCAACTCTGTTTGTATGTATATAACTATTTTGGTTTACAAATCTATTTTAGGCGCTTGAGTGTAYCAGAAGTTGTGGATCGCATGCTACTACTCCACGTTTTTGCTTTCCGTGTGTTTGTTGGTGTAAATATGATAATGTTAAATTAAGATTTAATCTAGGWTTTAATAGGCGCTTGTTGAATAGTTTAAAAAATATTAAGTTTTTGCAAAAAAACTTCGATCAGATTCATTTCACTCTTAGCAGCAAAAGGGGGCGTGGAATTAACCGTTGCGTTAATTCAGGTTTCCCTCTTTTGCCTCTTTGGTTGTTAATTGCTGTTGTGATTGCTCGGCGATGGCAAATCATTGTGATTGGTGTGATTCTCATTGGATTTCCAAGACAACAACTTGTTCAGCAACATGTCCATGTAGGGATTGCTGCCCAGACGTGCGACCTGCAGGTGGTAGTAAGAAGAATTAGTAAATAATGCTAATGGAATTAAGTTTAGAACGGTAGAATGCGTATAATACTGTAAAATGTGTAACACAATAAACTTCAATTTTCTTATCTAACCTCAAAATTTTCAATATACAATTACCTCGGCTCTCGCTTCCGTGTCGAGCGATTCCAATACTTCACGCGTATATTGAAAGCTACCCAACTTCTCGAGCAAACCAATGCAGTATTTCTTAACCTCTATGTCCTGAGTGCGTTGACGCAGAATATCTATTTTAAAAATTAATTTTAAATTTCACTATAAGTATGATTTTTTTCTAATTTAATAATGAGCAAGAACTCACGCAAAACCTGCTTATCATGTTTCTGCGARCGTACAGCATGTATAACGGGAAAACCGAATTTCCCCTCGGTCAAGTCCTCAGCGAAGCTTTTATTTTGTGTATACTATATATTTTCACAAATAAATTAAAATTAAATTTAATAAACAACGCTAATTTACACACCTCCTTCAAGCTGAGATTGCAATAGTCATCGCGTATCTGAAAATACARGCCCAGTATGGCGGTCAGCTTGGTGAAGTCCTCCTTATTCTCGCTGAACAGTTGCATCAAACGTATGGCAAGCATGAATAGACCACCCGTTTTGCGTATGGTCATTAGCTTGTAATCCGATTCGGATGGACAAGTGAAGTTATCGCGCCAATAAATCTCCATGCCCTGACCACGATGCAGCTCCAACAGTTGTTCCGTGTAGACATTGGTAGCCTGCCGAAGAGAGATTGTTTTTAGGTTAAATAATGAAATTAAAAATTAAGAAAAAAAATTCATACCTCTGGATGTCCCAACTGTTGCACCTTTTGTAGCGACAGGAAGAGCACATAATTCGCCGCATTGATGGTGCTGGGCACTCCGTAAATCGAATGCGCTACGGGAACACCTCTGCGAAGTATTGAATTGTCTTCAATATCATCAATTCTGTAAGAATTAAGTAAATATGCGTGACGAACAACATTCAATGGCATTCAATGCTTGAGTGTGTTAATTCTGTTACTCAGGGAGGTTTAGAATGGAAAGCGCGCAAAAAGTGTGGTTAGGTTTGTGTGTGCAAGTTTGCTTGCAAAGTGTGTATATGTTAATTCAGTGATATTGGATACATAAAATCAAATCAATTAGAATTCTGCCGCTACAACATCAACAACAACATGAAAACAAACTAAAACAATAATAATAATTAATTATAATTGACAGCTTACCAAAAATTGTAAAAAAAATAAAACTTTCTACGTTTATTTGACAAGCAAGCGCCAATTCTTTCTGTGTGTGACAGCAAAAAAGAAAGATAATTGAAATCTGACCGACATAATAATGCGRCAAATGAAATGTGTCATAAAAGGAATGCAGCAGCTACTTAAGTAATTAAAATAAATCACATTGCTGCATTGTGCACGGAAATAATGGCAAAAAAGTACTAAAAATAAAGAATTAAAAGTAAAAAGTGAAAAAGAAAGTTGCTGAAGAGACATTCATATTTTTTTTTTTATATATAATGACAAAGCAAAATATAAATGGGTGCATTTGCACAGTGCCGTAAAGTGTAATGAGGTTTTCCAACTGAATATCTGTACATACATACATTCATTTAAATTTAAATAGCCGTATCACTCACCAACCATTACACAAAGTGCTAAGGATGGCTATATTTCAATGTGCGTGCGTGTATGTGTGTGTGTTTCATTAAGGATTCAACAATTTTATCCTGCTTTATTTGCATTCACTCAATGTCAAGTTGTTTTTGTAAGCGCACTATCAAAGCGAATGAGAATAATACTAAATTTAAAATTCACACTTGCAGCTGATCTATGTATGTATGTATATACATACATATCTGTGTAGGTATGTGTTTGTTGCAACAACTCTGCCTTTCATGCCGACAACGTCATACTTTTGCTATTGTAAGATTTGTGCTTTTGTTTTGTCTTTTGWCTACGAGGCAAAATTGGTGTTAACTTAGGAGTACACTAGTTACAAAGTAACCACTTTTGACTAATTAGGAAAGTAAAACCGTTGAAACCCTATTTTTATGTCAACGAAGGTATTTTTCATATTGAAATTTTTTAGATTCGCTTGACCCCTTAGCCTATATACAGGACCTCCGAAAATGTCTGTGCGTGAGGAAGATATAACTAAGGAGGTCATATGAAATTTTCATTGTATCGATCGATTTCAAAGAAATTTGCCTCACCGAGCTTAAAAACAGTATTCTAATATTTCCATATCATCTAAACTAATCGAGATGCATATAGGATTAATTGGTTGGTTGACGTTTTGCACCTTAAAATATTTCCTTCACTTTGATTCTTGCCGCAAGACTATAAAATAGTTGGTTGAACCCGAATTTAGCCCTTCCTTACTCGTTTTTCTTTTATATTTTTATACAACATTATCAATAGTTATACATATGTATATATATATATATATCTTGAGATATTGCTTTGAACTCTTTGGTATAGTCGGTGTGACTATAGGCATCATTGCTTCCTGCTCAACCAGCAACACATACACATTTCCGCCCGCCATCTTGCACACATCTGCATTGTCGCTGCAAAGACATTGCCGATTCACTTCGCAAACTACTATGAGCTAATATTAGATGTTCTGGAAGCTAGCAAACACTTGTGTGCGAATGCCGGTAGCGACGGTGGAACATGTTGTCGGCGACAGTGACAGCTGGTTAACAAGCCAGMCAGTTAGTCAGGCGGAGCAYAAGACAGAAGAAGCTTGCGTAATTGTGTKTGTGTGCTGTTTGCTCAGCGGGCTTAGTAGAAAGGTAGAAGCGAAAAAACAGATTGATAATAGACAGCTTTTAAGCCGGATTAAGGACATTTTTTGTTTGGATTGCAGTAAGGATGGGATATATGATATATACATACATACATGCATGTGCTGGTATAGACAGGAAGGGTATTTAGAATACAAACTTTTAAGTTTAGTTAGATTTTAAATGATATTTTGCTGATGATCCAAAGATCGACTAATAAATTCCTTTACTTTTTTTAATTTTTAATTTTTTCCTAAAAACTTTATTATATTTTTCTCTAATTTTTTTCCTCCAAATTTTATTTTTTTTTTTTAATTTTTTTTAATTTTAGTTAGTCCCTTGAAATTTTAATTTTTCCTTACACATTTTTTCTGAAAAAGTTTAATTTTTATTAACTGTAGTAAATTTTTCCTAAATTTCCTAATTTTTCCCTTTTTGACGAATCAATATGACCATGGAATATACTTTTATACTTTTKYTTTTTTTTTGTTATATTATTTTAATAATTTTAAATTTTTTATTTCTAATTTTTCATAAGAATTTTATTTTTATTTTATGTTATTGAATTTTATTTTATTTTTCCTTTAAATTAATTTTTTTGTTTTTTAGGCGAATTAAAAAGTAACGAATGAACACACAAGAACTTTTTYAGTAACTACTAATTTTGAAAACATTACTCCTTATCATATATCGTAATTTATGTTTTCATGGTCATCACCCAATCGCCTTCTAAAGCATACTAAATGTGGACACGTGTGTATGTGTGTGTAGGCTATTCACTTGGCTGSCAAACAATGGATGAGTCATAAATGCCAGAAAAGATTTTTTAACAATAGAAAGAAATAAAGATGGGCTGCACAAGAAAAAGGCTGACTTAAAAGCTATGCAATTGAATTGTCACCAATGAATGTGATTTGTTTGTTTTTTTTTTTTTTTTTTGCTTATAGTGGCTATTACATGCCATTGTAGAAATGTCTATACATGTACATACATATGTATGTATGTATGGAAATGTGCATGAACATGAATGCCAATTGATGAATTTTTCTGTGAAATTAAACGTTAAGGAAAAAMGTGTGTGTATGTGTGCTCGAGCAAGTATTGTGGGACATTTAYATGCATTTCTGTTTAATTTTTGAGCGCAATCGAATTCTAAATTATTTTAAGTACCATTTATCGGGTCTTTACTGTACATAAATATACTTTTACATGTGCATTTCTGCTAAAGAGCAAAAACCTTACACAATGTGAAATTAAATATATAAAATTAAAAAAATATATTAATAAAAAAAACAGAATTGCAACAAAGAAACCGTAGCGTGTTAATTTACTGTCTGCGAAGGTTGTCAAATATGCTCTGACAATAAGTCAAGCTTACATATATAGTTCTCTAGAAAGTACTAGTCATCATATTTATACCTATATAAATGTTTAATGCACAGTTAATCTTAATATAAACAAATAATTAAACGACAAATACATACAAACATGCTAATGCAAGTTATAATTTTATTTTTCTATATTTTTTTTTTTACTGAAACGTCATTTTCATATGCCAGGCACACAATACCTTAACTGTCGAAACAAGTCATCAAATGGAACCTGTCCAAATCCTTCATACAATACTATACATATATTCATCCCTATAAACATAAATTGTACATACCTACAATAATACATGTCACATAGCCAGCACATAACAACAAAATATGAATTTCATTAAGTGAGCATAACTGGCAGATCAATGAAATCATTGACGAAGGGAGCTCGGCCGGCTGCAGACAAAGAATTAAAATTGAAATGCGTTGCGTAAGGCCTCAACAAGTCATTAAGGGCGATAGATGCATGTACATTTCAATGCAAGCATTATTTATCGTGCGCACATACCCACTAGGAAATTGTAGGCAGGTGCCACAAGCGTAACCACTTCGATACGGCGCCAATCGGCCACAAAACGTTGCCCCCGGCTGGYATTCACTGTCCGCGCGAACCGTGACGCTCGATGGATTTAACGAGATTAGAATTATGCGAGCGAACACTGCGCCWCCGTAGATATAAGATWAAATTCCGGGCTGTCGACTATARTCAACGCGTGGCGATACGCGCTCATGTCATGGTCGTCGACTATAGTCGGCGCTCGGCTTTGTGGTGTTATCTGTGGTCGCCGACTATATTCGTCCATCGTACCGAATTGTTAATTTATTTGCTAAGGGTTCTGTTGTTGTTYTTGTAGCGAGCAACTAACTCCTGTTTYGAAGAAAGTGCAAATCAACTGTCATCTAAACCGAGAATAGCGTTCTCTTAATAATCAGTGCTGGTTATTCAGACCAACAAACTCTTCTAGAAATTCTTGAATTCTTTCGGACTGYCTAGCTCTTGCATTATGCTCGCAARCTCTATTTTATGGCTTTACAATAACAATAATGAACTCCAAACTACTCCAATAGCATATTGTAGCTTGACTGCCTGCAATTTTCCTTCAAGGAACAATTGTATTGAATTTTTAAACTCTTACATATACGCGCCTGCTTGTTACCAGCTGGCGGGTGAAGCTAGTTTTTCTTTATTATTTATATGGCATTTTTGTAGYAATGGAGCTCAGTAACCACATGTTGGAGCCATACACGAACAAATGCAGACGCCTATCATATTTTATAGCTTTAATTGTTGTCGCCACTACTGCTATGAGGCGCATACTTCATTCAGTTTGACGAGGAGATATATTTGAACGTTATACACACACACATAAAAGTGTACAATTATTTGTTACAGCTTCCGCAACTTCGTTTTTATTGTTCCTACTAGGAGCAGTAGTACGTACATATGCATTCAACCAGTAGCGAGTGTCGCACTTTCAGAACGATGACTCTTGGTTGAGAGTATTTGCATATTGTTTTACAGACAAATATTGATGTTTTTGTGCAAAATATTTAAAGTACAGAGCAAATAAATAAATAATTGGAAATATGTGTCGACACCCATCAAGAATCTACATGTATTACAAGATCAGATATTTATAAATTTAAATACATTGGAAAATATTTAAAAAAAAATTACTGTTTTTTATATACACAATAAAATTAAAAAAAATTAAATAAATAAAGAATAATTAATTTGTATCAATGATACATATATAAATACTCATTTATGTATGTACAAGCATTAATCATGGCAGATTCCTGCAAATGCCCGAGACTCGCGTCAATTGATTATTGACAAATAAAGACATGCATGTACATCAATTCAAACAAACAGACAATCATTCCCAGAATCACAGTTAAGCAATTCCTTTTAAGCATGAAACCATACCTATAATATAAAAAAATTGAATTAGGTATGTGAGCTGCATGAAAAATTCGCGGCATCTTTCAACACTGAAAAGTCAGCAGGATTTCTTAGAAATTCATTAATTTGGATTTAAATTTAAATAATAAACATACATATGTATACAACCAAAATGGAAAACAACGCACACAAAACGYAATGTAAACAATTAGAAGACGCAGTGTGAAACGAAATTAACCAGCCGCCAAGTTCAAAAGCAGCGTATAAACAAAGGAAATTATAGCTGCTAAAAATAAACAACATATTAGACAAAAAATCATTATTTTTGCACATACACAAAAAATATATTTTTTACACACATTCACATATGTACATATACTGGAGTTTGTGCGGCGCCGCTAATCACACATATTGGTGATACCACTCACTCACACCTGCAGCGTAAACAATGACATGCTTATAATTTAGTGGGTTAGGATGCTAGGGCCAACTAATGAGGCTATTATCCAAACCGCTTAAATATGACACATACACTAAATTAGTAAGAGTGTATGTTTTGTATGCTAAAGTTCAGCATTTCACATGCATTAAAAATACACATAAATACTCACAATAAACTGGAATTGTGCAGCATTTGCACTATTTCGCCAATCTGGTGTAATTTCTCAGCCGGAATATTTAGCCAATGATTGAATGCCAAGGCCAATTCAGAGCGAAATTGTTTGCCTGGTATCTGTTGTATGTAGGCGAAAGGCTGCAACAGAATCTGCATAGGAGATAACAAAAAAACAAGCGGAAGATCCATGTAAGCGTAGGCGATTTAAATTTACGCAAACGCACAACAAATGAATAATATATGTAAGTTATCCGAAAGTGGTGCGTAAAAGGTCAAAGTTAATGAATGAAAACTTAATGTATCACCTCATCCTGTTCTTTTTGCGCTGATGGATCACGCGTTTTCGCGAGTATAGAGCACAATTCTTCCATGTTATTCATGACTGGCATTTATGAACGATGAAATAACTTAAATAAGTACACTGATTTAGCGAGTGTTAAGAACACTTAATTTTTACACGACTGATCGACTTGTCAGACAACACTTGTCTGCTTGGAACAGATTGTAGACCGAAGAAAATAATGCAAAGAAATATATGGAGTAAAAGTGATTCTTTGACAAGCAAATTACATGCGATGTAAACAAACACAGTTTGAGAGTCACTAGTATAAATTTGACAATTGCTAGGAAAGTAGAGTTGCCGTAATCTAGTGTTTTTTGTTTATTCTTTTTTTTTCATTTGACTTTTGCTCAATAAAACAATTTTGTACCCAAATACTAAAACAATATTTAAAAGATAAACTTATTTCAAAATTCGGGAGTGAACAAATCATAAAAAATACATTAGAGCAATACAATTAGCGTTTTCACAATACACAAACGTTTTTTTATAAAATTATAAAAAAAATGAAACCGGCAGCACTTGTATTTGCAACGTGTCAAAATATATTTGTTGTCAATTATTGTTTTGCTGTCATTTTTTTGCTGAAAAGTGCAGATTTTTTCTAATTTGTGTATTGCAATTAAATAAATTGAAATAAAATATAGTTAAAAGTAACACAATACAATGGCTGCGTCACAACCCGTACGTACAAACTGGCATCCGAACAAAAAGCATACTGATGTTGAACGGTAAACAAATGCTAATATTACACATGCTAAACGCCACCTGACTTTAGAATTGCTTTCACATTCCAGTTGGATTTGCATATATCCCGCATATATAAATAGTAAAAAGACRCGTCAAGAAGGACGTCGTCTACCAAAAGACATATGTGTTGAAAATCCAACCTATGCGGAAATACGTGATGTCCTATCGGTGACCAATTTGCGCGTCGCTGTGGAAAACAAGCAGTACTCCAGGGAGCGCAGCAGGGTAAATTAACTTTTAGATAACGATAATAAACAAATATCTACTTATACTTATTTATTTGTGCTACAAGGAACTACAAATGCGTGGTCGCATACGCGTTCAAATGCGCAATGACGATGGCACGCCATGCAATCCCGATTTGGGCAGCCGCGAAGATGTGATGCGTTATGTATCAACAAGAATACCGCAACTAAAAACGCGTCAAGGCAAATCTGGTGATCATCAACAGCACGTACAAGCGCAACAGTCAGCCGGYGGCAAAAAGGGCAAGGGCAAGAGGCGTTAAAAAGGGAAGAAGTGTTGTTCATACAAATKTCAACACATTTTGTTTTGGTGTTTCTCATTCAGTGTTCAATAATAGAAAAAAATAKAAATTGTGCATGAGAAAGCTCCAGCGGTGACAAGTAATTTTGCATTTTTTGTTTTATTTACAATTTGTTATTGAAACTTCTTTTTTATGAATAAAATATAAGAACAATTAAATGTGCTTTTGTTCAAATATGTGTATTGAACTTTTCTTAATGCATTTTTGTTTAAGTTTTTTAAGAACCTTTCGGAAGTTGTGTTCAGATATTTGCACTTTTTTTTTTTTTTTGTTGAAATATCACAGAAACGTGACATTGCATCTTGTTTGGTTTCTTTACGTGTAAGTACCTTATATTTAAATATGCATATATATTCTTGAACACGATTGTATGAAAAGTATCGCATTTTTGTCGCTATCTTCACCTTGTAAGAACAGTTTGTTAGTGTCAATAACGAGTGTGGCTCGAATGTTGTAARCGTTTCACTGATTTTTGCTTGGGTATACAATTTTCTGCAATATTTTATAACTTATAATTAATATTTTAATTATATGTACATATATGATAAAGGAAAGTATTGTCTATAGCAAACTTAAGTGATTCTTTTGCTTAAGGCTTATAGGCAATACATAAGCCTATTTGCATTTGAAAATTCAGAATTTAAAGTGTTAAAAAAAAAACGCTCAAACTGCACACAGTCACAAAACGAGCGCTAGGATATTGAAATCAATTGTAGTGGTAGGATATAAAAGATCAGTCGASATTCATAGCTTAAGATCACGAAGAACTAAAAGTTTCGAATTTTTCTTATGTCTACTTAAGCCATTTAAACTTAAGGCCAACGATATGTGAATTCCACAAATAAATCAAATTGCTGTATCGACAAATTCTCCAACACTCCGTCGAGCGAAGCCAAAAGCGTATTCAAAGCAGAACGCTTAGTTCGATTCAGACAGCATTGAGAAGACAACACGAAAACAGAAAATAAACAATAATATTTATTAATATGAAAATTGCGAAATTCATAAACATTGAGTACACATGACGTGAAAAATATAATTGACGAACATGCAATTGGCCAAAACAAAACGATTGTGAACGCGATATAAAATCAATTAATTGCATTGCAGCAACATTGAGTAGACAAAAAACCATCGAGTGCAACACAAACGCTCGGACGTTCAACAAAAAGCTAAAAAAAAAAAAAGAAATTTGAATAACGGTTCATTCGTTTTTGTCGTTTTTTGTAATATAGCAACTGTCGCGACAATGTCCAACAGCTGTTTTTGGCTTTACACGCTAGGTTTGYTGCTAGTTTGGTTGATTGTCATCGCAACAGCCGCGCCGCGCGAACAGAAATCCACAAAACTTGTAAAATATTGGGGTAAGAGTCCTGCGCAGGAGCAACGCTTAGAGAGCAGCTGCAAGTCTTTGTGCGAACAATGCGGCTGCCTGGGTTTCTATTGCGGAGAGCAGTGTCTGTGTGAGTATGACAAGCGTTTAAGTAATCGCGGAGATAGCGCCAGACGTAACGGCACAAAAGTCAACACACGCTCGGAGGGGGAGTGCATTGCGGCAATGCAGAATAAGGCGCGCAAACAAAGCCTGCCTTTCGACGTACTCATACAAGGACCAAGTAGCGAGCGTTTCATACGTACCGCCATGAAATACGAAATGGATAAGGCACGCACTGCGGCCATGCTMACGCATGCACCCCTCAAGCGCTCCACCATCGCTATTTATCAGCCATATATGCCTGCGAAGGATAAACCAAGCAGATCGATGGAAKCGCGTAATCGTCGCTCTACGGATCAGCTGGATTGGTTTAGTGATTTCGCGAATACCTTAGTGCGTCCTGCGCCACTACGCAAAGCTGTTGACGCTGGTGGCAATAAGAAACGTGAAACGCAGCGCGATGAAGATGATTCTGCACCYGAGAAACCCAATTCATGGTTCAGCGATCATCCCAATCGTTTGTTACGGCCAGCGCCTATTTTCCGTCGACATAAATYCCAGCAAGAGATGAGTGAAGAGTTGGARGATAAGCCGCATAACTCGGAGGAAACTGCGATACCACGCGTTGGACACCTAATAAAGAATACCATTAGAAATATACAGGAATCHGAATTCGGTGAAAACTTACGTGCCGGACTGCGTGATAGCAGCGATCTCTTGCAGAACACGTTTCAAGGCAGCAATTTAGAACTGATTCCCAAACGTTTTCGYAACGACTTCGTTGAGGTGTTCGATACGTGGCTGAAGAGTCAACAAGTCACCGAACCAAGTGTGGAGGTATCTCCGGTGCCGCCGCGCACATCGCCACATATCTTCCTGCCTTGGTTCCGTCCTGTTCGTTTCCTGCAACACGTGCAACAGGCGCTTAACTGAGTCGGAACCTCTTTAACACTAGAGCCCTTCATATATTTAGTATATCACTTTTATTTATTGAAATATTTCGAAGATTTCGACAGGCTTACGCTTTTAATATTTACTTATATTCGTGAATATCTGTACGAACTTCTAGATATATTTGTATTCCTAATAATATGTACTGACGCACTTTGTACCGTTATTACTTTTAATAAAGCCATCACATCTCYGAAATGTAAACATGAAGTTCAGATACATGTAGCCTACGGTGGCTTAAGTGYTTTCTTCTCGCTGTGCCGCGTTTTCAGCATATAAATTTTCCAGGAGTGATAAATATTTCTTAGCATTCGGGTTTAATAAATAGTTCTCATTTCACATTTTAAGAATAAAGTTCACAGAGCTCGAGTATGAGTATTCAAACAGGTTAGTGCTTTGAACATAGCTTTAACCAAGGTTTATAGATCTTTTCAGTCCCTTTAAACAGAATTTTGTCGAAATAACAGTAGCTCTAGTTCTGTGCTCTTCACTCCAAGAGTGGCACTAATATACATAGCACTACGTCGATTGTAAAGAAAGTGTCTCTTTTGAAAGTGTTTCTATAGAAAAATCACATGCARCAACTTAAATACTAGAAAGTGTTGTTGGATCGGCTAAAAAAAAGGTGGTTTACATAAATAACCGGTTTACCTCATTAAAATCACCTGGAGATTCGGGTTTATTCTTGCAATACTATTTTTTTTACTATCATCCAGGTATATGTAGGTCTCGAAGACATGCGTTAGTACCTGGGATATCTTTACCAAATTCCATTGTCCATCATCATCGGATTTTCAGAAATAAATAATTAAGTTTTGTCAACGATGACTTCTTGCAATCGSTCAAGGGCATGATCATGATCGAGAAAACATGTTCCGAGATATGATCCAAATCCAATGTTCAACATCACTCAATGCTACGAATGGATTAGTAGGAGAGGATTGTTGAAAATTATTCTAACATTGCGCGGTAGCTCGAAAAGTGGTAATGATTCCTGCGAGGTCAGGGGCGAATTCAGAGTAGAATTTYGGGGGTCACCTTAAAAGTTGTCAGCAATACCCTTTTCTTTATAATCACGAATTTTTTGAATAATGAAATGTTACTATAAGAAGTAATATCGTACAGCTCATCGTTCCATCGACTGCGGTATTCGCCGTTGCCAATGCGCACACGACTATTAAACTTCCACAAGACCTTTCTATCGAAGACTCCTAAGGCCCACTCATCACATGATGTCATTGCCATATAGCAGGACCAGAATAATGAGTGACTTATAGAGGTTGATCTTTGTTCGTCGAAAGAAAACTTTACTTCTCAATTGCCTACGCAGTACTAGGTAGTACCTGTTGAAAAGAGKTATTCTACGTTGGACGTTGTTGTTTGATGACCTAATAAATACAAATTCTCAAGTCGGATAAATTTCCCTCACCGCCTTTAAATAGCATCTCGATAAAAACGTGTTTAAAGTCGATTGCCGGACTCTCAGCAGGGCAGAGGTTTTAGTACGGCCTCGAATCCGATTAAGGTGGAATAGGTGTCCAATCCGCGTTACCAACTGGTACCAAATAATCCTAGTATATTTCTTGCACTTTTTTGGGAGCTAAGCAACGCATTATTTTGATCCGTGTGCTCTTGAAGACCGTAAGGTTAGGCAGTCGATGGCAAGTGCTCACGTGAAATGCACAGGATTTTGTTATAAAGCTTTGGGAGCCGATTACACTAAATTACTTTTTTTTCAAATGCGCCCATATCTCCACAACTATTAGCTGGACTTGTTTCAAATTTGCGTAAAGTATTATTAAGCATATGATATATAATATAAATACATCTGAATAAAAAATCGATTTTCTCTAATTCACAAGTGGATATAACCTTTTACATACTATATAGTATATCCTCATCTGACAAATGCAAGAATTTAAAAGTTTTAAGTCGACTATAAACTGTTTTATAGCATTTTATGTCCGAAATGAGGTCGGAAGGTTGACAATCCCGGTCAAGGAGTAACTACTTTAGAAATAGTTTTTATATAGGTAGGAACAGGAAACTCAATCAAACTCATCCTACCAAACTGCAGAGTGGTAAGATTCAGTTTTAATTAACACACCTCGCCGGCCATTGACTTTAAATTCTTGTACAATTTGTTCAATGCTTTCGATAGTCTAGATCGGTCTGTACATTTATGTCTAAGAGAGTCTAACATATTTTTAAAGGCTTTCTACGCCAACAATATTTTTTCGGAGATTTTTTTTTTTTTTTGTGTTGTGGAAGATAAGAATTTAACGGGTGATCCAAGCAGACGTACTTTTTTCAATAGCCTGTTTTGACAGATCGCGCTTGAGTCGTGTCAAGCTGTCATGTTATTTGTGTTCAGTATTGTTTGGCATTTAATCACGAAAAGACTGACGCCTGAACAATGTTTACAAATCGTTCAATTTTATTAAGAAACACCATTACTCAACTTGAGACCCAGCATTCATTATTGGATAATACTCGACCGAATAGACCACGTCCAGCACGCAGTGAAGAAAATATAGCAGCCGTAGCTGAAAGTGTATAGGAAGAACGTGGAAAGTCGATTCGGCGCCATTCGGAGCAACTCGAACTGATGTATAGAACGATTTGGCGCATAAAATATAGCTTGTGCACGAACAGAGGTGGTTCTATTTTCCCAATTCCTCTATAGGCTTTGAAAAGTTCCAAGAACAACGCCGCATTTGGGACGAATAGCAAGCTGAAAAGATTCAAGAGCTGTCATTTCATKCGGRAAAAACAACGGTTWGATGTGGTTTKTGAGGCAGTGGTCCATATTTCTTCAAAAATGMTACAGTTGAGAAAATAATCCTCTTTGGCGGCCGTTCTAGCGCCGTGATGACTATTTGATGGCTGAAATTGAAGCTCGTGACCTCAGCGACATTTGGTTTCAGCAAGACGGCTTCACTTCCCACAC